CCCCCCCCCCGCATTGTTGATTTACTAGCCCTGCTGCTTGGTCTCAACCACATGCTGAAAATCTCTTTACTTTGCTTTAGAGAAATGATTCCCCCCAGAATCAGTGACAATCATGGCTGCTTTAATTAAAGGACAACTGAATCTAAATTTTAATTAAGGGTTAGCTGAACCGTGATTAGCCAAGAGTTAGGCAACATCTGTATCATTTGCTTTTGGAACTTGAGCCTTTGAGTCTTATTACGACTATGGGTGTCATCCAAGGTTTTTGTCGTTGTTATTATTTATTTTCCGGCTTTCATCCTTAATGGAAAGAAATTCACGGAGTAATTATTGAGAGACACCATTTTTGCTGTTGCTTCCGAAGTTGTTGTTTATGCCCCATTTCTTTTCCGCCTCTGAGATCGTCAGGACAGGTTCTCCCTCACCAGCCGTGGAAGTAGCTCTGGGTGGTCGCCCTGCCCCGCATGGGGGCTCGTTGGCTGCGTTCTGAGAGCAGGGGCCCCTCCAGTTTGCATTCATCTCTGTGTTGTGTCCTCCTCCGGAATCTTGCTCCTGCCATGCCCTACTTTTCAATGAAAATCTAGCTGATACGTAGAACCTGGCTTCTGTCCGAGCCCATGCAGTTGATCATGTGGCCACAAGAGGGCGCCGACCACCACCGCGTGCTCACTGCCAGCTGGGCCCACAGCCTGCCTGGCACTTGCTGGAGTGCCCTTCCTGCCACTGTCCACCCCATGTTCTTGGGTCACTCCCTTCCCAAATGAGGGCCTGTAAGCTGCAGGTGTTTTGATCCTCTGTAGTTCTAACCGTCAGCGTCAATAAGAGGCCCACTTGGCCAGGAAGGAGAACCGCTCCAGTTAGCCGTAAATAGACTTGCATCTTCAGAGTAGCACCAAGCAGCTGTCGTGACCGGGAGAGCCGATGGCAGCAGAACTTCTGCCCCGAGTCCTCGTTAGCCTCACAGCCACCGTACCCAAGTGGACGTCTGGACACGCAGCGCTCTCCCTGCTCTGGGACTGTTGGGGGGCAGGCCCCGTGGGGCCTAGGTAAGGGCTACCTGTGCTCAGGGTGCCAGGGGCCTGAAGAGCTGCCTCGCGGCCACGGGACCGGGGTTCAGTGTCTGCTGGCAGCAGCCAGCACCACCACAACACACACCCCAACAGGGGATTCTTTTCACCACCACCCCCCATGTGTCCCCAGGGCTCTGTGTAGAAGGGGGCGTCTGGGGGGACAGCCGTTTTCTCTTCCAGGTCATTCAGCTAACCTTTCAGTTAAAAGCTAAGTTTAGTTGCCTTTAGAGCTTCTGCTTCAAACTTGAATCGATTTTGCTCCTTTCTTCCTGCACCACCCTGGCATGACTCACGACCACTGTTGTTTTGTCTTTAGATTTTAGGAAACCTGGTATCTGCAGGAAGAGCCGAGAGGGTGGAGCACATGGGCCACAGGTTTCCTCAAGGTGGTGCTGGTCCTCCGAGGTCCCGGCTGACGGCGGTCCCATCCATCGGTCAGTGGGCCTGACTGGCTTCTGTCCCACAGAGCAGAGCAGCTGCTTAGTCTAGCCTCACTCAGAGGACCAACTAGTTATTAGGACTAATGTCATTCCCAAAAGGCACAGAATGCTCTTGGTCCTTTATGCAGAACGGGGACTGAGATGGCACGGCCAGATAAGTAGAACTTGTCTGTAAGTACTTCCAGATGCCACACTGGCCTGTAATCCCAGCCTTCCCCCCATAAAATGTCATACTGGAGAGGCTGAAGGAAGAAAGCATTGATGAGAGCCATCTGCCGCTCGGTCGGAGCACACGGTGGGGAGCTGTAGGGCAGGGAGCGGCCTGGTGCGCACACCCCACGGAGCCGAGGAACTGGGAGTCATCTCGCTCATCTGCCCCTCCCCAGTCATCCGTTATCACCACCATTCTGCTTCCATACTTTCCAGAATCCAGCCAGGCTGAAAGCTGTCATTTCAGCGGCCCTAATCACACTGCCTGAGGAACTCGAGTGGTATAGTGGTTAACGCACTTGGCTGCTAATCAAAAGGCTGTTCAAACCCACCAGCTACTCTGTGGGAGAAAGATGGGGCAGTCGGCTTCCATAAAGATGTACAGCTTTGAACACCGTGGGCAGTTCCACTCTGTCCTCTAGGGGCGCTGTGGGTCAGAATAGACTCCACTGCAGTGGGTGTGGTTTGGGCTTTGCTTCTGGAAAGATTGGCAGCCTTGGAGACCCTGTGGGCAGTTCCACTCTGTCCTCTAGGGGCGCTGTGGGTC